ATATAGCTTGAATAAACAATCCTAGACAGATAATAAAATAAAATAAATCTTTTCCACCTCCTCCCTGAACTACGATAGCAATTCTCAAAAAACGATCAAAAAGATCAAAAACATCCAATCAGAGCCAGGAGGAGTGTCTTAGCGCTGTCAATTAACCTTATGTACACACTGCTAAATGTGCTAACAGCAGAGAAACAACTCACTGAACCATTAAAGATGTTTATCCGCCATCATTGGTGGCCATGCTAACTAGCATGAGTGGCGCATACACAAGGATGGTTGACAGCACTAAGACCTGATTTTGACTCCCTATTAAATGTAAATTAAATGTGATTAACCACGTTCTTCTAGGCAGATGAGTTCAACTGACCTGTAGGATCAATTAATCACTTAAATAGCACCTGCCTGACGACATGAAGTAGGATGAAGGATCTAAAACAGCAACAAGTCTCAGCCTGATCCAATATGACAGAAAACACTGTGATCCATCAGTCTGGAAAGGAGGACAAAGTCTCTTCTAAGAGCCTCATTGTGTTTGATTATCGTTCATTTAAAACATATATACGTTTCAATAAAGGACTGAACTTCTTGTAACGGCAGCACCAAATACGACATGCTATTCAGTCAGTACACAAAACGCTTCCTAATTAAAACAAACAACCAGGCAGAGCATAAGCTCCAACTAAAAATTTAAATGAAGTCAAAAATATATCCCTTTAAAAAAAAACCATTCTGCGCCTCGTGTTTTCTTTACTTTCAAGCTGCTCCTGTTGTTTTTTTTGGCCGCAACCTTTGGTTTATCCTGTTATGACGCCACGTGGTGAGGGCTATAAAAATGTCATAAATTCATTTTGCTGTCTTCTGCCGTTATCTGCTATCTGTGGAGCCGAGCGAGATACACAATCAGAGCCTTTACCGTTTGTTGTCACGTTTATAGATGTGCTAAAAGCTTTATTCTGTTTTTAGAAAAAAAGACAGATCAACCTTTGTCGCAGAAGCACAGACCCACAGTGAAAAACCTTTTCAACAGCTAAATCTCCAAATCCAGGTGTTAGAAAACAACAGCCGCGGTTGGCACCTCAGGATCACCTGGTCTCCATAACAACCATTAGAAGCTAGTTACGTGCCAACCAGTAACTGGGATGCATGTTAGTGGGGGAAAAAAAGCCTTTTCTGTTCTACCATGTGGAGTTTGTTGCCCCCTATTAAGGCTTTAACTGAACTTAAAAGACAACTTTTCAGCAACAGAAACTTGGTGCCTTAGGAAACGTAAAGCTGTGGGTCTGTAGCTGGACCTTTAACAAGAAAATGATCAGAATCATAAGAGAAATTAAATATTGGACACAAAATCAACCACTATCTCATATGTCCCCAGGACTACCATCCTTCGAAAGAAAAGGTTGTTATCAGAGTAGAAGATAGCATTGAAGACCCTTGATGATGACCTTAGGAGATTCTGTAAAGAGGAATGGTCAAAGTTCCCTACCGCTGTTTGCTCTAATCTCCTGAAATGATACAGGAGAAGATTAGGTGCTGTCCTGTTGGGAAAAGCGTTTCTTGCCTTAACAAAATGCAATAGAGGACAAAAATGATTTCTAATGTGAGATTTCTAGAAGATCTGAACGGAAGTTGAACCTACAAAACAAAATGTACGGTGGCAGAGGGCACTGTTAGTAGAGAAGCAGGTTTAGCTCGAAGGATGTATAAAATATGCCTCTTTTTTACAGGTTGACGCAATTTCCAGAGGTCTTCAAGAAATAACTGTGACATGGTTTGGGAATAAACATGTTGACGAAATTAAAAAATTACCTTAAACCTATAAATCTGCTATAGTTTATGAATAATTCAAGTCTTATCGTTGAGGACAAGTAGTGAGAATGTCGACAGCGAGCACTAAAAGTTTGTTTGATTTCTTTTTTTTTTTTTAATATATGACACTGAAAAGAACGGGCAGTGCACTGTGTCATATGAGTGGCCTAAAGTGCATGAGTCATGCACATTCCTCTGGGGGGGATCTGTCATGAGATTGGCCAGTGTTGTGGTCTGATCAGAGACCACCCGTCTTCAGCCCTCCGGACACTGAAGCATTTCCTACAGAGAGTTCACCAGAGAATAAAATAAAATAAAAAACACCACAGTTAATAGAGGATGCATCATTCACGATGTTATGGTCTGCAGCAGGTGTTGCTTTTGAGAGGAAATACGGCAGAAAATATAATAAGGAACAAACATAATAGCTGCATTTCCACTAGAAATTTGCGCAATATTCCATATTCCAGTAATGTTCAAAAGAAAAGACAATTTTGCAATTGCATTGTTTCCATTACATAAGAAACAAAATTAAAGAATAAGTTTGTTCACACAATAAGTCATTAAAAAAACAATGCCGCACCATAAAAGTCCAACCACTTCCTGTTGTTTTTCATCCAGTTGTTGATCATGTGTCTCAAATAAAAGTGTTGCCATGACAGTTTTGCGAAATAAACCAGTATTGATGTGGCTAAAGAAAACCGCACCAATCCTAGTGGCAAAACATTCTATCCAAATAGTTTTTTCGAAACTGGTGTATTTCCATTGAGCAAATTTATTGTTGAAATGTCAAACTGCACAATCAAAATAGTCAAAATGCTAAATTTCAAACCCCAAAACCTCAAGGTAATGGTGTTGTGTTGGGATTTTACAGAAACTGTGTTGGTAAAATTTGTTCCGATCAAGTTAATGGATTACCGGAGCAATTAGCAAAATTGAGAGAGCGCCATACATCTTTGTCATCATGACATTGGAAAAAAAAAAAAAATCAGCCAGCAGTCGTAGCTAAAGCACTTAATATAAAACCGGGACTGCAGATGGTTTACATCCAGCCCTTGTTAAAGCTCACTGACACCATTTGAAGTCAGTCGTAATCGCCACCTTCTTGCTAAAAATGTCTTTCAAAAGGGAAAATTTACAAGGACAATAATGTGGTGCGTCATTCACCGTTTCCATATCAGCATGTTGACCTCGCCTATCTAAGGTCTAAGGTACTGAATGAACTTTCAGCTTCAGTCCGGCTCCACCTTCACGCTCGATAATAAAAAACACCTGGAGCTTCGCACATGTTCCTTTGCTAACCGCTTTACTGAATGAGCACCCGCCTCAACGACATAACGAGGAAATTAAGAGCCGTAATGTTGAGTTGTTGAAATATACGAGCCACTTTCTCATGTAGTGTTACGAAACTTTTAACTGTCCTGATAAATCTCATTGTTTTATAGAACAAACTTATCTCCATCATGGGCAACCCAACCTGTAGTCTCACTCTGAAGACAATGGCAACAATACAAATGTTCATAGCTCATATCTTAATTTGCTGCTTGAAATGTGATCCTTTTTTGTTTTGCACAGTTATGAGTCTCTCACTTTATTGTTGATTGGTTATTTCACTTCCTTCTACTTAGCTCACTTTCAATCAGGTTCAAATATTTTTTTCAGCTATTTCTGTTCTTGAGATCACACACACGTTATGACCAAAGGACAAAGCTTCAACTACCCGACACACACTGCCTCATGTTTGACTCTAGAGAACTTTGGGGGACTAATGTTGCATTCCAGTTGCCTTGAAAGTTTGAACTCTGACCTGGGTTTGAGGTCAGACCCGAAGTAACAACTTTCTAGTTAAGAAACCGGAATTTCAACACGGTAATGCCCATGAGCATTGTCTGCAGTAGCTCATGAGCGAACACTACTTTAAATTTAGAGTTCTAGGTGCTACATGTAGCACTGATTTTAGACGCACTCTTACATGCGTGTCTTGTAAATTAAACGTTTCTATTTACTTACTTACTACTCTAGATGCGAGGAGCGGCCATATTGAAACGCAAAGTCCGCCTTAAAAGTCACACCTGGGGGCTAGACGTGAAACCTGACTTCAGAAAGCCTCTCAGTTGATTTTTCAAGCTGGAGAGTCAAAATTTCACAGTTCTGAGTACAACTGGAAAGGAGTTCATGAACAACTGAATGGCTGTTTTTCCATTGACGATATCCACAATTAGACATTTCCCAAGTAATTTTACTCAATAGAAACCAATTTCAAAAACTCATTTTTCAGTAAAAGGTTTTGGCACCGTGATTGGATGTCAATTTAGGTCAAATTGACATTGGTTTTTTACGCAAATCTGCAATGGAAACACTTTTTTCGCATCACACGAGTCACATGATCAACAAGCGGATGTTGAAGAAGAAGGAAAGAGGAACTAGTTGGATGATGATGGCGTGGCATGACTTTTAATGTCTTACCACGTGAACAAACTTCCATGTGATTTGAATTGTGTTTCTTATGAAATGAAGACATCGCAATTGTGAAATTGAATTGTTGTTTTTTTGACATTAATGGAATATAGACAAAGTTTTGTGCATATTTGTAATGGACTTTAGTGACTGCAATGTGCCCAGGTTCTTCACCACCATCACCCCAGCACACAAATGTACATGTTCTCAAACTGAAGTTCTTTCATGAGCATTTAAAATGCAAAAGTACTAAAAAACACAAACATCTTAAAAGTGACTTTTACAGACTCAGTTCAAATAAGCCCCATGTTAACTGGTTGGCCCATCTTTGGCTAATTATTGCAATATATAGAAACGCTGAAAATATTTGGTCATAACAAATTACACTGCTGGTGAATCTACAGGAGTGCTACACATAGTTAGACTGAATATTTGCTCTTTTTTTTATTTAAAGAAAATAAATAAAAAAAAAAAAGTCAATTGCACTTTAGTCCTTCCGTGACTGGTCTTCATAAACTTGACGCGCAAACTCATCAGCGGGAAGACGTAGCCGCCAGCAGCTCCTGTGATGCATTAACCACTATCAATGAGGTGGTGCTGTTTTTTTGTTTTTTTTCCCGTGCATACCTGCTGACATTGCACAGACAGTAATGAGCTACTGATAACTGCAGTTAAGGTGCCAGATGTGGCAGTCAATACCTCTTCCAGCCGCAGTCAGAAGGGACTGAGGACTCAGAGGGAGACAGTCAGCAACCGTCTCCAGAGAGAAGGCTGTTTCTCAGATAGAAAAAAAAAAAGGATTCGGCAGCTGGGAGGTTTTGCAAAAAAGTAACAAGTGGTTAAACAGATTTAGGAGCTACATTTTTTTATTTTTTTTGGGGGGAGGGAATTTTACAAAAGGAGACACGATGAGGCTGAAGCTGAAGCTGCCAAATCCGGGACTGGATGACAGGATCCCGTCCCACGGGGACCTGGAGAAGATGGAGAAGGACGAGGCTGGGGACCGACCCCAGTGGGACAACAAAGCCCAGTACCTGCTCACCTGCGTGGGCTTCTGTGTGGGGCTCGGCAACGTCTGGAGGTTCCCGTACCTGTGTCAAAGTCATGGCGGAGGTAAGAGGAGAGCCGTAGCATCAGAGACTTTAACGGAAATACGTGGAGTTCGCTCTGTTTGAGGAGATTTCAAGCATTATTAATTATTAATTATTAATTAGAAGAAAACGTCATTCCAAGTAAGTTTTTAAAAATAACTTTTAAGTGAAATTTTAATGTCCATTAAGCTTTCGTGTGAAAACCTATTCAGAAAAATGGATTACTGCATATAAAGTGAAATAAAATGAATTACTCTCATTTGTTCCTATGGAAGATAAAAATGTGAATCATGGTTTATAAAATAAATTTTTAATCAGGTTTGTTTATAGCTGTTTCTATGCAATGGCTTGTTTGTGCAACTCACTGCTAAATACTTCTCCCTTGCTAAAGAACAAAAAAAAAGAATTACTTTGTAGAAACACACAAAATGTTTTTTGTTTTTTTCCCCCTTTCAGGAGCGTTTATGATCCCATTCCTGATCCTGCTGGTTCTGGAGGGAATCCCGCTGCTCCACTTAGAGTTCGCCATCGGTCAGCGTCTGAGGAAAGGCAGCGTGGGCGTATGGAGATCCATCAATCCTTACCTGGCAGGAGTTGGTGCGTACAAAAGAAAAAAAACATTAAAGCAACAGAAAAACATGTGATTTTGAATACATTTGTAGTAATATTGTGTCAACATCCCTTTACTATTTCTCATAGTTGAGTATTTCTGATCAATTCAGAAATTGTAAAACTGCTAAAATCTCAAGTATACTTTAATACAATTGGGTGTTTCTTATTAGAAGTTATTGTATTACACAGCAACTCCACTAACTGTGATTTTGAGTTAGAGTTACTTGGTCAAAGCGATGCTGGAGGGACATCAGTATAAAATGTTTTTCTTGTCCTTCGTTCGCTTGCAGGCATCGCCTCCATGCTGGTGTCCTTCCTGGTGGGCGTCTACTACAACACCATCATGGCCTGGATCATGTGGTATCTCTTCAACTCCTTCCAAGACCCTCTGCCCTGGAGCCAGTGTCCGCTCAATGCCAACAGGACGGGTAGGTGCTTGAAGCGGAGCACCCATTTGCTTTTATGGCGCGGGGTAAAGAGTTTCCTGCCGAGGCTGTTGACACTCGGCTTCCACTCGACTGATCTTTAGTTTTTACCGCCCCACTTAAGGATACGTGGAGGAGTGCGCGCGGAGCACCACCGTCGACTACTTCTGGTACAGAGAAACGCTGAACACTTCAACGGCCATCGATGAGTCTGGGGGACTGCAGTGGTGGATGGTTCTCGCCCTCATCGCCGCCTGGACTGTGCTTTACGTCTGCTGCATCAGGGGCATCGAGACCACCGGCAAGGTCTGAAGGCCACGTTGCATCTGGAAAACTCTTCTACTGCGGTGGCTCCTGTGTCATTGTTCAAACATCCATCTTTTTTTTATTTATTTTTTTATTTAAGGCCGTGTACATCACCTCCACTTTGCCGTATCTCGTCCTCACCATCTTCCTCGTCCGGGGACTGACTCTAAAAGGCTCCACAGAAGGAATAAAGTACCTCTTCACACCAGATGTAAGTGATGTTATTACCTAGTAACAGAAAAGAAAGAAGTTTGACTATTTTTGATAAATATTGTGACTGGTTTCTCTCAAAATCTTGCTTTCTTGGCACTATGTTGGTGTAGCTGTCTTTTGGCAATGAAAGCATTCTGTTTGGCCGAAGGTCATTTTCCTTGTTCTGAAAACTGTCTTCTAAGGGTTTTTAACCCATTATCCTTCTGACAATGCTAGTAGATTAAAGAGTGAAACAATGTTCACTTCTATGTTGGGTTTGACTTCTAGTTCTGCTAATCTGTAGCAGGAGAATGAAGTGACCACTGAGTCTAGTTGCTCCTTTAGCGATTGGTTCTCTCATTTGGTGGCCTTATGCTGCCATTTTGTCCCAAACAATTGCACAGTTTTCACCCATTGCATGCTTATTTATTTCCCTTATTTCCAGTATTTGAAGCAGCATGTAGGAAAGTAAGGCTAAAAACAATGCTCAGATCTCACATAATGGTTTCATCTGTAGGAATTTTCCCAGGGTTTCATGATATGCCTCTTTTCCCATTTTGGGAGATTTTTGTCCTCAGCTAGTCAAGTCTTACGATATATTTTCTTTATTTTTAAAAATAAGACAGGGCAAGGCATATCAATGAACATTCTGGTGTAAATATGTTAGCCAGGGGGATAACTTTCAATCCTAGACCCAATGGCAAGAGATTTTGACAGAGTTTTTGACAGACTATGATTCCTGTCCAGCTAAATTTCCTGTTAAATTGCTCATGAATTCTCCCAAACACGCTTTTGTTTTTATGCGTATGAAGCGAGCTATGTTTCTGTTTGATACAAAGTCCAGTCAGGAGTTAATAAACCAATTTAGTTTTTATGGCTATCAAGATTGTGTTATCTGATTTATTGCTATTTTAATAAATGATCCACTTTGAAGTTTACTAGGCTTTGTGCTGCGGATAAACTTTGAAATATTATTTAGTGTATGCTATTGTTAGAGCTAAACTCATTGACAGATATGGACAATAAGATAACTGACTTAATAGCATTTATTTCCATGCTCATCTATCAGATGGTAAAAGATAAAAGTTGGCACCTGCAACCTTATATTTACAAGATGACCATAAAAGTGCTATTAATCTTATATGGACACAGCCTGCATTTCCAGAAATGACCAGCAATCTTCTTACCTTTGTGATAATCTAAATATACAATAAGTAGTCGTAGGATTGGAGGAAATATGAGATAACTACCAGATGATAAAAAGATGAGATTACTGTCAAGGTCTCTGTCATGTACCTTCATTTCAAAACTGGTAAAATCTCATGTTGCCTTGAAAGATGAACCAATGTGCTGGTGGCTAACTGGTGATGGTCGTTTCCCCTCGTTGCCTTTTGTAGTTTGGATAATTCTGTACCCAACGTCTTTAACAATTAAGTTAAATGGGATGTTTCATAATGTACCAGTACATTTCGTACCAGCAATTGAAAGTAACTTCAGGGTTTCCCTCAGTGTTTTATAAGCCTGGCGGGCCACCAGGCTTTAAATGTGCCCCCACAAGGCTTAGCATTGCTTATTTATTTAAGTCTTTTTAAAATGTCTGCATTTTTTTAAGACTTTAGAGTTGGTGTTCTGGTGTTATTCTTCCACATAACATATAATTATCAAGTTATACTTTTAATTTCCTGTCAACTTTAAATGTTTTTTAACTCAAAAACACGACGGGCCACTGGATGAACGACGGCCCTATCGCCCAAACACCGGGGTTAGCAAGTTTTCTGGGGGAAATCCTTAACATAGTAACATTCTGCAATAAGAAAAGTTCAAAAGAAAAGTATTGACAAACAGAAGTTTGTTTTGATCAGCAGCTATCCTCCTATTTGACTAGACTCTACCAGACCCCAAACATTTTGGATCAGAAGGAACAAAATAATGTTAATGAAAAAATATCTTCAGGTACATAGTTAAGTTATAGAAGATTTAAAACTTTTTATAGGTATTTATCTTCATTATAATGAAGAAAAGTACCTTGACATGCAATGGTTTACCTACAAAGGTACAAAATGGACATTGGATGGAAGGAAACCACAACTTGTGTGTACAAAATGGATCAAAATTGGCTGTTTTTCTGTCTAAGTGACCTGATGTCACTTAGACAGAAAAACAGCTCATGTTATTTAGCAAATTTATCCACTGGAACTCATCTTTTCCTGTTGTGTCAAACAGTCAATCTTCTAATTTAGATGTGCCATTAAACCTAATTATTAAAGCCCAAGGAAAAGTTTAACAACATTCTAGGAAGTAATAGTAGTTTTTCCTAAGAATTTTTTGATATATTTTTTTCAGGTAGATGAATTAATGAATCCTTCAACCTGGCTGGATGCAGGAGCCCAAGTATTTTACTCCTTTTCTTTGGCTTTTGGAGGTCTCATCTCCTTCTCCAGCTACAACTCTGTGCAGTAAGTGAGCTGGTGGTTCAGTAAAAACGAAGGGGAGGTATTTTCTCCAGCCCACCTCACACAAAGTCCCTCAAAATGCTCATTTCAGCAACAACTGCGAGCTGGACGCTGTCCTCATCTCCATCATCAACGGCTGCACCTCGGTGTACTCGGCAACGGTTATCTACTCCATCATCGGCTTCAGGGCGACACAGAAATACGATGAATGCTTCGGAGAGTGAGTCAAATACTTACAAAGTGAGCTTGTTTTATTCAAACTGGATTCAAATGATACTAAGGTGTTTTTTTACAGCAATATCTTGAAGCTGATGAACACTTTCAACTACCCCGAGAACAACATCACACAGAGCAACTACGACGAAATTCTGACTCACCTCAACCACACGAGTCCGGATGTCATCCAGGGATTGTCCCTGCAGAACTGCGACATGCAGACTTTCCTTAGCCAGGTAAGACGATGTGTATTCTTCCATTTTTACAAAGAAAAAGAAAAGAAGTCTTCCATGTATGGCAGAATAATGGGGTCTGTGTTTCTTTAGGGTGTGGAAGGAACAGGACTGGCCTTCATTGTGTTCACAGAAGCCATCATAGAGATGCCGATTTCCCCTCTTTGGTCTGTTCTCTTCTTTGTCATGCTCTTCTGCCTCGGCCTCTCCACTATGTTTGGCAGCATTGAGGGTGTTATAGCTCCTCTGCTGGAGCTCAAACTGCTACCCAGGAGTTGGCCCAAAGAAGTTATCAGTGGTAAGTTTCTCCTAGTTTCATTGATCAATGCAGAGTCAAACTTTCTCCATATGCGATCCGATGACAACAGAGTGACAAATTGCGTTGTGTTTTCAGGTCTGACATGCTTCATATCTCTAGCTCTTGGGCTCATTTTCGCTCTTCGCTCTGGGAACTACTGGCTGGCTCTTTTTGACAACTTTGCAGGCTCTATTCCGCTCCTGGTCATCGGATTTTTTGAAATGATTTCTGTTGTCTACATCTATGGCATGGACAGGTGAGTCACGGGCAGTCAGTTGTGATTTTGCCCACAAATGTTGATATTTATACCATAGGACGTAAAGGTTTCTCTCTTCAGAAGTCAGGAAATGGCTACAAGATGATAGCTACTAGCTGAACCTGCCCATCTCTGCAGTCAGAGCAACAGATTAGAAGTTTAAAAAAGCTGGAGCTACAATAAACATGGATGGTCAGAGGCCCCAAGGGTATCTTTATTTCCAAAGATCACTGTGTACAATTTTTTTAGTGAGACATTATGCTACTGTAATAAGGCTTTTTACAAGAGTTATATTACCTTACTTCAGCTTGCATGAGCTAGCCAACAGTAATTTAAACTTTCATTGTCAGGCATGCACCAAAGTTGCCTAAAACGTTTATATTATCACTCAATATGGGATTTGTCATCCCCCAAATAAGGGTAGCTTGGGCTCTCTGTGGAGGTCAACGCTGTAGTACATCGTCATGGCAATGGCTATCCTAAGAAACAAACCAAACAGCACACATTTCTGCCATGCTGACAGGGTCTATAATTCTCCCAGAGGGTGCCACCAAACACTCAGATAAAGATAAGAAGGTCAGGCAATGAGCAGAAGAATGAAATGCAGTGAAAAGATATCTTCTATTTTCCTGCAATAAAGTTAATAAATAAATAAAATTGCACTGATTGCTTAGTGATAACTCAATTCATAATTTCTTTGGTCAACAAAGCATGTCTGTTTGTCAAACACCAAAATTGTGTCTCATTATCATGAACCCTCTGCCTCACTTCATGTCATGATTTGGATATTTTGCCACATTCTGGATTCAGAAATTATCCATTCAAGATTTTTGCTACAAAATTCGCCTGCCTGGCCTGAACATTTTTTTTTTTTAAATGGGGAATTCACGCAAGACCATCGATGAACACAGTGTATCATTTGAATGGCCAAAGTCAAAAGTACAGCCATAAAAAGAAAAAAAGGCTGAGACTAGTTCTAGTCAGTGATGGTGTCTGATGTTCAGTAAGATGCTTTTACAGTCCAAACAAAGCAGGAACTAGCCAAGTGTTATATTCTGTCCTTGTAGGGGAGATAATGTGTCAGAGTCATCGGACAAGAGATAAGAAAAGTACAGAATGTGTCTTGCAGCCATTTGGAGAATGGAAAATATGATTTGTGTTTTGTTTTATTGTCCCCACCTGGGTTATGAGTTAAGAAAACATTTATTTTTAGCTGTTACTAAAAAGGTAATAGAAGCCTATAAACATGTAAACATGTTTGAAAATCTTTAAGTCATCCATTGTAAAATGTCATATAAAGAATGCAAAGATGTTTGTATCTAAATCTGTTGAACTTCTTGAGATATATTATCAAAAAAAAAAAAAACCAACAAGGTTGACTTTTACGACTTCCATCAGACTCACCTCTGTGCATCTCTCTATTATTACTTTGGAACAGGTTTAATAAGGACCTTGAGTTTATGATCGGCCACAAACCCAATATCTTCTGGCAGGCGACGTGGAGAGTGATTAGCCCCCTCATCATGATTTTCATCCTGATTTTCTACTTTGTCACCCAAGTCACGAAGGAACTCACCTATCTGGTCTGGGACCAGGAGGCGGTAAGTTTGGCACTCCATCGGCTACAAATATGCAAAGAAGAAAAAATTCACCCCAACTGTCTTTTCTTCTAATTGTGGTTGTGGGCAAACCTTGGTTTGATAAATCTTCTGCTCTGCTTACAGGAGAGCTTCCCCACCCTCGCTGAGCGTTACTACCCACAATGGGTCTACGCCATGATCTTCATCCTGGCTGGAGTTCCCAGTTTAGCCATCCCCATCTTTGCCCTTTACAAGCTCATCCAGAGGAAATTCTGCAAAAAGGACTACAGCGACAGTACAGTGGACACAATCTCTGCCAAAATACAAATGAGTGACAAAATGAAGTTTTAGATAAATGTACTTCTTTTGGCTATTTAATATCAACGAACTTGTAAATTATGTTTATTGGACTTTGCTGGTGTGTTGTAATGATGCAACAACACGCCGAAGATTCACTGTTATCTTTGAAAGGCAAAGATAGAGACGACTAAATACTCCACAAGAACAGAGAGGTTTGTTCTCTCTGCCAGGGCTGCAAGAACAACGTCCAAGTTCTTTCATATATAACCCTTGTGCACAACTTCTAGAAAGCCATCATAGTTTCCCCAACAATGTCTGTCAAGAAATATCAAGGAGCTGTAAAAACAGAATCACGTCACTTCGTTCTTGCATCCTTGGGAGAGCGAACAAATGGCTCTGTTCTTACAAAGCATGTATAGGCCTTACGTTTTAGTGTTTTTACTAAAGAAAGCATCCAATTATGCCATGCAATGACAGCAGTAAAGGTATTATTGACTAGGTTAAGGCATAAAGGGATTGTGAATAATACACTTACGTAGTATGAAAATGTCGCACTGTGTACAATATTGGCAATACAAATAGCATGAGCATCATGGGCTTGTGCATGAAGATGTACTTAAAGACAAACTAGTTGTATCTCTGTATGCTAGTACAGAATAAACAGTGAAATGAGACACTGAGCTCTGTAGAACCTTTATTATTTAAATAGTTTGGGATAAATAAGAATTCACCTAATGGGAAAGTCACATAGCAACACAAACTGTTTGAGTTGATGAAATATCAGAAACATTGTTGTAAGCACTAAAATTATTGATCTTGTTTGAGGGTTCTGGTTGATTTGAGCAGTACTGTTGACGTTTGGGAACCTAGTTTGTAAGATGAACTGGGGTTTCTGATTGGGGAGGAACCATGTTGTTCAGTATTTGCCCCAAGCATGAGCGGCTCTCCTCTCTGTATTGTCCATGCGGGGGCGGGGGGGGCAAATCAATCCAAAGTACATCTTTGGATTGATATATGGGTTACTCCAATAGAACCATGAATGGGTTTAGTCATGAACAGAACATGGGGGGGACATAAAGTAATACATGATCTGTTTGGTAATACTGCTTAGGGTACTAAAAATTGAGACACTTTGAATGTTTGGTCAAAAATAATTTACAATATTTCTGAGTCACATCACTGTAGGTTACCAGCTCAATTCATGAATAATTTCCAGAGAAGTAGTTTGTAGTTTGATCCTTTAAATACACCAAGTATTATTCTAGTTTGGGAAATTCTCTTTTAACTGTACCTGTTGAAATTATTGCTTAAGAAACACCAATGTCTGTTTTTGACTTCGACAAATCTTTGCAGTTCTGTTTTACTTCCTATTAAAAGTAACATTACATGTTGGGTTTATCCAGGTATTCTCCACTTTCTGCGCGTTGTATTCTGTACTAAACAAAAGAAATTGGAACTCATCTTGTTAAATGAAAGCTGGCATCATCTTTGTTTGCATAGCCAACATTTTGGAGGTTGTGTGCTAACCCTAAATGCTTCAAGTGCTGTTCCGATAATATGCAGCATAGCTTAGCTAAACCTGATAGTTAAGCTAGGTTTATTAAACGTCAAGAATTGAAATGCCAGAATTTTAAAACAGTTTTTGGAGTAAATGCTTTAGGCTAATAAAAATCACAGTTTGTTTTCAAGCTAGTTCAGCTGCTTGTAGCTCAGAAACATTAGCTTGCAATTTATGTGAGCTTCAATGCAAAAATGCAATAGAGACATGAAATAATCTTATTTCTAAGTCTTATTATTCTTTTGATATTGTGTTTAAATTGTTTTTTTCTAAAATGTTCAAAATTATGGTTTAAATGTTGAATATAAGCTGTTTAGATGGATAGTTTCTGTTCATACGTTTGAGCACTACATAACGTTTGACATTTCTGTGATTGGAAAAATGTAAAATCACTTTGTCGAAGGGGTTTACGTTTTTTAGGCACCGCTTTACAAAAATTAGTCCCCGTGTTAAGATATTTTAGGTCGCACGTATATTGCCACTCCACATTTACAGTTGATATGATATGTGCTCATTTGCTCAGATGTAAGTCAAAAATAAAAATACACATAACACAATGAAATAGTGGTTGTGCTTCTTAAGCATATGTTGCAGTTGTAGAAATTGACCACAGTAAACATACATTCATTACGCCTAAAAGGAAAACATTTATGGGGGGAGGGGAGAAAATTGCAACATTTAAATAAGGGCCAAAAAGGAACAAATATATGTTTTTATTAATATTTTAGTACACAAAATTTCAAATTAAAAAACTAATTTCCTTCATGAACATCAAGTTCTTCGTCAGGAAGAGCTTCACGGAGCAGCGTTGGCCCCGACGACTGAAAATACATTTATGATCTGCTGCTGCTCTATTAGTGGCCATCAGTGGCACCAATCACAGCATCAGTAACTTATACAATATCATAATATTATTATGTAATACTTGCATATCTGGTCATTTTGATGAAACTTTAAATAGACATGAAAGAAAAGCATATTTCAATGATTATTTAAATTCCGTATTAAATTAAATAATTGCATGCAAAAGAAATGCATTAAAATTCCCAATCATCAGACATTAGATGTAGTTATAAATTAAGTATTTGTATTTTCTAAAGTAATTTTAATTCTGCTTTGGAAGATAATTTAGTTGAATTTGTGTTCAGGTTAAAATTATTGAGATGAACAGTTCAAAAAAATATATATTAACTAAAAAACAAACAAACATATATACCAAAACAATGACATAGTTTATGAAAACATTTTAATACAGATTTAAAATAAAAATATGAAAATGTAATTATTAGCATTTTTAAAGAATCTAATGACACTCATTGACAAATAATTGTTTGGTGTATATTTTATATATTATTAGTTTATGTAAGTTATTGTGTGAAATGTTATTTCTTATTGGCCTGTTTAGTGCTCAATACAACAACATATGTACGCACATATATATTAAATATGTGAAGATAATAGATAGGACGGTTAATGAATTATTTAAAGATTTGACCAATAATTACCTTTTGACTAATTAAAATCAGGCTCTTTTTGCCCTCAACGTGTTTTTTTTTTCTTCCAAAGTTTATGAGTAATCCAGGACTTTTATTTTTAGCTCTTTGCATGAAAAACCACTGAGTACTCAAAAAATAAATGCACAGCTTTGCTATTTGTTTATCTATTCATGGAGCAAAGCAGTAAAAGACCATAAATTTGTGTAATGACCGCTGAAGGCTGCTGTGTAAACAGCGACTTGTGCGCACTCCATCTCCTCGCTGCAAACAGGCGGCAGCAGACGCACGATCGGTTTTACACGCGGCTTCAGCATGAGGCTGGTGCTCCGCAACCCGGGCCTAGAGCTCCGGATCCCCGACTACGACGACCTGGAGAGGATGGAGAAAGAGGATGCGGAGGGGCGGCCCCAGTGGGACAACAAGGCCCAGTACATTCTGACCTGTGTGGGCTTCTGTATCGGTCTGGGGAACGTGTGGCGCTTTCCTTACCTGTGTCAGAGTCACGGAGGAGGTGAGTGATGTGAATAACGGACTGAAATCTGAACGCATGATGATGCGCACTAATTGTACTTTTTTTTTTTTTTTTTTTTTTTTTTTAAAAAGGTGAAAAGCTAAAAAAAAAAATAGCTGAAATTTTCTTCCTGTGAAGAAAATGACTGGTCCAGTGAACCTACAGCCAAGCAAAGAGTTAATAAATCACTTATGGACGAGTGCAAAGCACTTTGTTCATGAATTTGCCATGAGGTTATTTTAATTATTCTCAGGCCTTTGCTTACAGATTAAAGATAATCTACGTGTGTGTTTCCATTGCATATGATTTATGCGAGAAATTAATATTGACGCTGCACATTGAGCCACAGGAATTAGGAAATGTTTTAAAAGCAGTCTCTATCCTATACGTTATTCTGAACTGGACTGAGTTTCATCTGGGTTTATTAGTTCAGTTCTTCTGTAACTGATGTCTAAAATACTGACAAATAGCATTAATTTAGAGATTAAATCAGTAAATATGTCACACGTAAAGGGAGCACTTCATAAGAATAAGCCCTCGTTATGTTCTAAACAACGTCTAATCTTTATAGTTGTTCACGATTAACTGTGACGGATAACCGATCTCTGATGTGTCCTTTTGTTCAAACAGACATAAATAAACGCTGCCTGCACCTGCGAGGTGATGGAGGCTTCCTGTCGGCAGTATCATATCTAAACAATAAATCCCCTATTCCTCACTTTACACCGCATGAAGCCTCAGTGACTAACTTGGACAATGGCCTGGGATGACCTCTTCCTCACTGTCTCATGATCAAATAGACACATGAAGGCAACACCAGGGTGTCAATACTGATGCTGACATTTCAAACAACCGCTCTCCAGTTGTTCGGATTCTGATTAATGCTCAACATTTTTATGGTTTCTTACCATGTTTTTATGTATTCTGTATTAGGGATTGGTTCCAATTAAATTCAGTAGATGGAAGAACGTACGCTAACACGAATTAGCAGAGATTATTTTCTAGTCCTAAACAAGAAACACAACAGTTTTTTTCATCCTTCCTTTAAGAATCTGCAAGAGAAAAAAATATTTGTGAAATTTTGAATTTGAGTGCAAATAAAGTTGCACGCGGTTTGCTTTGTATTAATAATAGTGCAAACCGACAGAATTGGGTAAAAATAAAGAGCTCAAAATAACAGTAGAACCACTTCAACATATTATTAAAGAGAATTAAAAAGTAGCTATCCAACAAATTGCTGAAGTAAGAGTAAAGAGAACTCTATGTGTAATTACTGACCTGTTTGATTGTTTTGCACAAAAGGACGTAATTAGACAAAAAATAAAACGCGTAAAAATTCAGTATTTTAAAGATTTAAATTAAAAATAAACAAATTCAAAAAATTAAGGAATTCAGGTAGAACCTCCCCCTCCCACACACACATATTTCCCAATCATTTGTTTTTTTCACTATAAAGCATTGGAATCCAATGTTTAAATGTTTGAAGAGGACAAAGTACCTTCAGTAGCAATAATGTTTACAAGGTGAATCAGTGTAAACAGGAAAAGTGGTGAACATCCAGTCTCGTCCAAACTGATTAGATTTTATAAGACGACACAACAATCGGGCAAATGGCTGGGCTTTTAGCTCGTTTGGATGTCAAAGAAACATTTTAGAGCTGCTGTTTGAGAGACTGCTAAAATGCTAAAATTTGAAATAAAATTTGCTGCAGTTTTTTTTTTTTTACAAACAAACTGCAGTAAACCCTGATAGCCTGTTCTTGATTTGACCAAGATAGTCAACCTATTATTTTTGTCAGTTTCAGTGTTATGATCCGTGTGTTTGAGTGTTTATTTTTGACATTTTCTGTGCTTCTGTCCTGTTTCCTCTGAGTCTCTGTCCTGTCCTCCCCGTTGATTGCCCCCCAGGTGCGTCTACTTACCTGATTACCCTCCCTGTGTATTTAAACCCACCTGTGTCTGTGTTCTTCGTCGGGTCCTTGTCTAACATTGTCAAACCTTTGCCTGTTTCCTCGTGTCTCCAGTTGTTCCTTCGTGCTGTTCTGCTGGATTTATTTTCATTAAATTTATTATTTTTTCATCTACCTGGGTCTCAGCGTGCGATCCTCACTATAACCACACCGCTTCATGACATTCAGTTTCTCTATTATTTATTTTACATTGACTGTTATAATCCTAATGGCACTGTTGGATTATTTTTACTAAGCTTGTGAAGCTTTTGGTGTATTTCAGTGTGCAGTACCAGTGCAAAGTTATCAAATGAATTTGAAGTTCAGTACTTTTATGTCTGTGTTTAAGAAGCATTTTAAGTCAATTCAGCATCATTTTGTGTATCGGATCGGTATTGGCCGATACTAAACCTCAGATATCTGTATCGGTACCAGAACTGGAAAAAGCGGATCAGTGCATGCCTTCTTTCACCGCTTATTTTTCCTTTCAACTAACATGCATTAAGCATTCCACTGAGAACAGTTAAAATTTAGTCATTTTTCACCCCAAAATTCCAAATTATAGTGAAAGAAAAGTGTCGGCTAGCATGGACTGCTACCTTTTCCAGGTGCCTTTCTGATTCCCTACCTGATCCTACTGGTGCTGGAAGGAATGCCTCTCCTACTGATGGAGTTCGCCATTGGTCAACGTCTGAGGAAAGGCAGCGTCGGGGTGTGGAGCGCCATCAGCCCCTATTTGACTGGAGTTGGTGGGTACAAAAAAATACATTACATTTCAGTACCTTGACTTTGCGTTACATCTGTCATGATGTCCGCACAAAGGTATCGCCTCCATGCTGGTGTCTTTCTTGGTTGCGTTGTACTACAACACCCTGATAGCCTGGATCCTCTGGTATCTCCTCAACTCTTTTCAGCAGCCTCTACCATGGGCTCAGTGTCCACTGAATGAAAATGGGACAGGTATTCAGTTACACCTTTTCAGACAACACCTGTCCACATCACCAGATACAAGATATCATTACTGACTAGCTAACTTTAATGATTTTTTTATTTTTTTCCTTATTCAGAATTTATACCGGAATGCCAGCGGAGCTCCACTGTGGATTATTTCTTTTACAGAGAGACTCTGAATAGTTCTGCCTCCATATCTGAGTCTGAGGGAATCCAGTGGCCAATGGTGGTTTGTCTGCTGGGAGCATGGACAATTGTTGCAATCTGCTGCGTTAGAGGGATAAGCACTTCAGGGAAGGTTAGTTCATTTAAAAAAATAAAATAAAAAACATGGCAAATTGTCATTCGTCGTAGAGAATGAGGGAACAGTAGATGAGATGAGTCTGATCAGAACCAGTAGAAAGCTTCTTCTGTACAAATGTTAACTTTTGTGACACTTCCCCCTGCTGGTGTGGAGGTTCAAATTCAACATAGCAGCCTTTATTGTTTGTTTCTGCCTTGGGCCGACCATGCCCTCTAATAACCACTTATCGCAGGTTTTTTCTCTCATCATGACCTCAGGCGGTTTACGTCACAGCAATCCTGCCTTACATAGTGCTGGCCATCTTCCTGATCCGAGGAGCGACTCTGAAAGGTGCTGTGAGCGGGATAAAATTCCTCTTCACACCAGATGTGCGTTTTATGCTTTTTTTTTTTTTTTTTTAACAAACCAAACATTATTTTGTGATGTCACAAGTCGATGCTACAGGAGGCGAGAGCAGATACTGTTTTTTTCCCCAGTGGTTTTCCTGATATAACAAGTTTGTCCCTTGCAAGGTTTTCTCAAGATAGCAAGTTAATTTTCCATTTTTTCAAGATAACGAGTTAATTTCCCGTTTCACAAGACAACTACTTAGTTTTCAAAAGTTTTCATCAAAGTAATGAGTTAATTTCCCAAAGGTTTCCTCAAGATAAGTTAATTTCCTGATGCTTTTCTCGAGATAACGAGTTCCAGATGGTTCACGAGTTTTCTCGAGAAAAACCTGAAGAAACTTTGTCAGTCATGTTAAGGCCTTTAGTTTTTTTTTTTGTGAAATCACAAGACGATTGGTGTGTGTGATAAACCTGACTCCATCTTTCAAATGAAATCTGGAAATTAACTCCTTATCTCGAAGAAACCCATCAGGAGAAACTCTGCCACGTCTCTTCACTGTTTCTCTCTCTGTAAGGCGGAGGAGTTGATTAAACCAACGACTTGGTTGGATGCAGGAGCTCAGCTGTTTTACGCCTTTGGTTTGGCATGGGGAGGCCTCATCTCCTTCTCAAGCTACAACCCTGTTCAGTAAGACGTGGACATTTTGTGGAAATGGTGCATCTTTTCTTCCCAACACAGTGCAGTTTCTGAGTCTCTTCCCTTTTCTGTACATTTCTTTCCCCCTCCAGCAACAACTGTGTGCAAGATGCTGTGATCCTGTCTGTCGTAACTGGACTCACGTCGATCTATGCTGCCCTGGTGACCTACTCCATCATTGGCTTCAGAGCCACTGAGAAATACGACACCTGTATCAGTAAGTACGGTACGTTTTGTATACAACACATAAAATAACCAACGCTTTAATCGCATCTAAAACGATTCAAAATTCTCCTCTGCTTTTCGTTTTAGAAACATTGTGAGGTTATTAAATACGTTTGATCTTCCTGAAGACAACATCACGTCAAGCAACTACGATGCAGCCTTAAATCACCTAAACAGCTCCTATCCCCATGTCATGCTTGGACTGAACCTCCAAAGCTGTGACATGCAGAAACTCCTCAGTGAGGTAAGCTCTTAAAATAAAAGAAAATCTGTTAGGGATTCAACCAGGAATCACCTTCGGATGATTTTATAAAACAATTAGGAGCTTAATGAGTCAAATATTTTTAAATCTGAATTTTTTTCCTGATTAGTGAATGCAACAAATTGTAGATAGTTTGTGCAAAAAGTAACCTTCTTCTGTTACTGAGGGAAGAACACTTGAAGATATTTTCTTCAAAATGTCATCGAGGTGTTTAAAATCAACACCAGAGGACGCACAAAATCTATTTGAAAAGAACAACATTTTCTGATTTAAGCTTCTACAACAGTCCGGTGCTGGTTAGTCTAATAAACACAGACAATACAGAGGGAGCTGAACACACAGAACCCTGAAAATAACACAAACAGAACACAAGAAAGAAGCTAAACGACAAGGAATTAACTATACGACAAGATTTTGACCACAATAATTGGCAGAGAAAGGAACTGAATATGGAAAGCCTGGAAAGCCTGGAAATGTAACAAATTAACTCCTTATCTCGAAGAAACCCATCAGGAGAAACTCTGCCACGTCTCTTCACTGTTTCTCTCTCTGTAAGGCGGAGGAGTTGATTATTTGGACTAGTTTTCAGCGGTCTGCACCTTACCAGGGGTAAAAAGCAGTCAACGAGTTCTTGCAGAATCACGGCGATGTTCTCGTGAGGATGTAAAATCATAAGCTACTCTGAACACTGTCTGCTCTCAATTGCAAATTAATATAATCTAAAATGCCACTAACACATATCTTTAGTGGTAGCTTGACAAAAAAAACAAAAAACAAACAAACAAAAAAACATATTAAGTTGTATCACCTTCTGTTATTTTTCCGTGAGGCAGTCGTTTCCATCTTGTTTAAAAGTTTGTGATAGTTTTACATTTACAGCAGTTTTATCTCCTCTGTGTCTCTTCCTTTATGTAAATAATTATAATAACGTGTATTATCGACATTTCACCGAAGTACGCGCTGATGATAAAGTTTTGTGCTTACAGGACGTGTTTCCGGCTCTGACGTCAGTGGAGTATCCCTCGTGGATCACCGCAGCGATCTTCCTCTTGGCAGGAGTCCCCAGCCTGGCTGTGCCTGCGTACGCGTTATGCAGATGGATTTATGTTTTATGTAGAAAAAAATAATTTTCAGATCTTAAATCCAGCTATGTTTTTGTTTTGTTTTTAAGTCATATATTTCACCCCATACCCTTGTGCTGCTTTGGTTAACAGGTTAGCATTCGCACAATGCAGACTCTGTTAACTCCATTTCAATGTTGATCACAACTCTTACTGACATTTTTTATATATATTTTATGGTTTTAGTAAAAAAAATACTTTGATTTCAATTTTCTGTTGATTCATCTTGTAAAAGAAATTATGCTAATTTTAATTTCTGTTTGATTTATTTTGTTACCGCAACATCAGAAAATGCTTAAAATGTAAGGTGAGCTTGGTGTGTTGGAAGACCTGAAATTACAACAATAATAATCTTATTATGCAAATATTCACACAAAACAGCCAGAAGATGCAGTGCATAATCTATGCCAAAAGATGGTGCCCTAATGTTGAATGAACATTAATAATCAGGTCAGAGCATCACAGAAGACAGCTGTGATTTATTTTTTTATTTTTTTTTGCAGAAAATTCACAGGCCTTTTAAAAACATACCTACTATTCCAAATAAACAATGAAAAACATTTAAATAAATAAAGATTAAAAGGTTTATACTCATAAAAGAAGCAAATTATTGTAGAATGGAAGAAAAAGCATACATGGTGAATAACACCTTTTTGTCATGCAAGGTGCCTCAATATGGCATTTGTTACAAATGGGTGCAAAATAAATACCTTCAGTTAAACCGGCGTTCATGTTAAACATCTCGATTTGGTGTGCGATCAGCGTCTTTGACTCAAATATTAACAGACTTAAGCACAAACAATATGGAAGTCATTTTGTTCGATCTCAACAGCAAACACAGGGCTTCACTTATAACAGCCTACTGTTTCATAAACACAATCAATAGAAAATCACAATGAAACGTTGTTTGAGCCGCACTGAACAGTTGGTTTTCCTTGTCAATCCAACGTCCTGGTAATGATTCACACACTTAAAGATAAATGTTAGATAAACTGACACACTTGACATGCATGTTCACACACTGGCATGTAATAAAAAGCTTCCTTTATCACTGAGTGACTTATTATTATGACTGTAAGGACTCAAAGCCTGAGTATGATCTGGGACTTATATAACCTGGCTCCAGACTATATGTATGTTATTCTTACAATGTCATATGGAACTTTGAAGAGTATTAAATATTAGTTGTTTCTTCAAGCGCACTAGTTTGAAAATGTCGTGTGATAACAGTAAGGCTCATATGTTAATCTATCTGTTTGGTTGATTCAATGCAACACATAATGACAAAATCATTTGGTCAACTTAGGTCTATGCTGGGTCTTTAAATGGTGTTGAGAGAATTGCTTCAAATTGTACAGCACATCTAGAACTCAAACCCACAGCTGTCCTGAACCAACCCATATGGGTCCCAGACAGGCATAACCTGGTTATCTCTATCAAAAGTCTTTCAAAAGTTGTGGTTTCAAAGCCGCTATAATATTCTGTCATTTGTTCTTATGACATTTTAGTTTGTCTAAAGTTTCCCAGTCTTGGCGTGAAAGCTAAACTTTCATCTTTTTAAGGGAGGATTGTTTTTAAACTAAAGTTGGTAAGACACAGCCGGTATGTTTAAAGCAACAATTGGTTCTGGGCATTTTTACAGTTTCTGCTCTGTAGTATCGGTGCCTATGGGGATTGTTTGGTCCTTTTCTTAGAATTTTATTGCCATTTATGGGCAGGTTAAAGCAACAGTGCCAGCATAATGGTACAATTACAGCAGTTAAACCTCAGAAATTCAATGGCGGCTAAATTTATTGGTATCCCTGGTAAAGATATGCAAATAAATACTCTATGCACAGTATTTATTTATCTTTAATTTCTATCTTTATCTGTCCCCCTTCCTCTTTCAATTTTTATCAACTGCATCTTTCTCTGTATTTATCAGGTTTATTTCCTTACCAAGTTCAGACAGTCAGGTTATTTCCCCTCTGAGAGCCAAACCTGGTCAAAACTTTAATTCGGTGATGACTGAATTTTAGCTGCGTAGTCACTTTAATACTGACAGTGTGTCAATGCTAAAAAAAAAGAGAAGCAAAACACCCCTATGCCTCTAACCTCACTATGACTGTTAGGTTTATTCTTCAAATGAACTCTGAAAGTATCACAAGGACACAAGCTTCTCCTTTGCAAAAGTGGAGATGTGTGTCAGACTTAGCTACATCAGACGTGCTAACTCCAACAGGCCAACTCCCACGGGGGCTTGCAGCCCTTCAATATTTATTCACTTCTAACCATAGGCGTGTCGTCATAGTGATAATTCAACAGCACAGGCAAGTACAGGAAAATGCGTTCCATATATGGTAGCTCTTTAAGACAGCTTAGGTTTACATAGGATGTTACCTATTTTTGTAGACAACTGTGAAAGCGTCTGCACATTGGAAACATCTTTAACAGGAAATCATATCTTGCAGAAGTATAAAAACATCCGACACATCAGTAAATAAATGGTGAAAAGTATCAATTCCCTATCAATGACATTTACTGTATTGTCCATTTTTAATAAACAGTGCTGTGATAAATATTAACTCCTGCAGTGTTTTCTCCCCAGAAACATCAAGACATTACTGAACTCATTTAACCTTCCTGAGAACAGCATCAGTACAACCAGCTACGATGCACCATTTAATCATCTGAATGTGTTACCCCGAAGTTGGCCTCACGAAGCATTGACCAGTATACTGTCAATGCTGTATACTGACTGTTATCAAAATTTACAACTTCAGATTGATGAACTATCGTTTTTAACCTTACCTTCATGCTTCAGGAGCAACATGCATCATTGCCTTCATCATCTGCCTCCTCTTTGCACAACCCTCGGGCCTTTACAGGGTAACTCTCTTTGACAACTTTGCTGGTTCCTCTAACGACCATCGGACTATTTGAGCTGATTGCTGTCGTCTATGTCTACGGTATCAACAGGTGAGATTTTCCTTAAGCTGCAACCATTTGAGATACTCTACTTCTCTCATTTGACAAAATTATAAACACATTTTCCCGGCAGATTCAACGAAGACATTAAGTTCATGACTGGACACAAGCCGCCCATCTTCTGGCAGATTTCATGAAGGTTCATCAGTCCTTTAATCATCTTGGTTATCTTAGTTTTCTACCTGGTGACTCAAACTCAAAAAGGGCTCACGTATTTCGTCTGGGACCGAAACTTTGTAAGCACACTCCAGAGTTGTCGTCTCAACTGCGTAAAATTGTTAAAATGCTAAAAAAGAAAAAAAAGAAAAAAAAAAAAGAAAAATGTGTTGTACTTTATGTTTCACATGAAGAGTTTCCAGTTCAGGCACTGGTACGCATTATGTCGGCTGGTCAACGTTAAGTGCAAGCAGAAGGAAAAACCCAGTGAGAGATCGGGCTAAAATTCAGAAAAACATCCCGACACCATGCTTGAAACAATTGCTTGATGAGTTTAGCTTTATCTTTGGCAACACTTTATGTATTACTCCAAAGAGTGTTTTGCATATTTCTTGCCATAGATGTATTTCATTGATACATTTCTGTTTTCTCAATCATCTGTCTCAATCATCTGTCCCCACAACACTTACAAAGTGATGTCTCTTTATCCATTTTCTATAACTGAAAACATGTTTTCCTATTAAAACACGCATGTCTTACTGCCAGGCAGAATAACATTTTTGAGTGAATGAATAAAAATGAAATCTACATTCTACCTTGGATTCAATGCATCATTTGTTGCCAACAAAGTCAGCAAAATTATTTCCAGTGTACTTTTTTAAATAAGGCATTAGTTGAAACGTAGAGGATGTACAACTGTAAACTGTCCAGTAGAGGGTGATCTTACAAAGACAAAACCTAAGGGTGAGTATAAACAAAGAGGCATCTAAAATACATATTTGCATTGAATAAACAAATGGAATGTGTTTATTTCAAAGACTTACAGGCTCTACAATAAAGTACAAAGAAAAGTTTGCCAACGCTAGACAATTACTACTCAGGTATTAAAGCTAATCTAATTGCTCCTTTGTTCTGCCAGCTGTTTGGCGTCATTGTAAGAATTTCTGTCAACGGTTGCACACACAAGTAACCCGTGAAACATTGTGTTTTGTTCTTTTTGCTCTTGGCTTCTGTCTGAGTAAAACTCCCTCCTTCACATTCTCCCTGCAAAATGAAAAGTGCTGCCCTGGAGCAGCCTGATTAAAAGAAATGATCATACAGACAGACTGCCACTGTTGTTATTCAGATTGCATCATTTAATGTATAGTTTTAGGCACATAACGGCATCTTTTTACTTAATGAGCATTCTAAATTATTTCTAACCAGATACAAGAAGCTTATTAATAAATAAATAGATTTAACACCAGTTTTTAGTCGTCTAAAACGTAACTTATTAACTCAACTGGTGAATGTTGATTCCTGCTCCCCCTTCCCACCACACTTCACATGGGTGGAAATATTAACACAAAAACAACTTACCTAATTTTCTTGGGGAATATTTCATCTGCTTCTTTCTCTTCGGTCAAACAGGAACTTCTTTCTCTGGTGGCTGGTCCTTATTATCATCCTCCACACTCGTAGCATGTCTTTGTCCTCCCCACCATTTGTCCTTAGGCTAGCCTGGGTCTTCATGTGGCTAAAGCTGCCAAAGCAAAGAACACAAACTCTGTGTCACATCAGCCAAGTTGCTAAATAATGCATATAAAGGATAACTTTGACTAACATTTTAGCTTTTAATTTGCTAGATTAAAATTGGAGGGGCAAAAAACAATTTGCCTGTCTTTAAAATATGTTTAATATTAAGGGCTAACGTTACAGTAATGGAGTTTAAT